TTTTTCTTTGAGGCAGGGAGAGTGGTTACGAAATGTGTTGAAAGTGTGACAGGCATTTTGTCGTGCCTGGCTTCAAGGATTGTACTAATAAGGTTTGACTGCTCACAGATACACATAATTATCTACTCAGTTGAATACAGGACTGCTCTGTTGTATTTCCTGCTATTCAAAAACATTTGGGGAAAAGATTTCTGTGTATAATTTTATTTTCCTACTGATCTCTATTTTGTTTAAGACCATGTTTCATCATGAAATCACTTAAAATAAATCTTCTTAAAAAATCCACTTTGGAAGTCAGCTCTTTTATTCTGTCTTTGAAAATATCCTAACGTTTGCAGCAGTTTAAAACTGTTAAAGAAATCACAAAATACTCTCTCACGTCACCTTTTCTAAGTGGCTTCTGGTGGCCTCTGGAATCTGCTATGCTACAAATCATCACTTGCAGCAGAGAAAGGAAGGATTCTTTACCAAATGCAAAAGGCTCTCTGTTTCTGAATGGAGTACCACAATGGGCCATAACATACTTTATGGAGGTGGCTTGATACGCAGCACTGAAATTTCATAGCTAAATGTCTTCAGGGAAAAAAATATTGTTCAGCCTTTCATAAAAACCAGTGCCTCCCACTGAAGATTTTCTCTTGGTTTGGTAACAGGTGAGACTAACTGCTCTGAGAGGTCCTGGTCTTTCTTGGGTGAGAGTTGGCCTCTCTGGGGCACAGGCCAAGTGGACTTTTGTTTCTGAATGGCTGAATGGTGCAGTGTCACTTCCCCTATGCTATGGTTTTCGCAAACACTTTTTAGAATCTAATATTGAAGTATGTTTCTACTATTTTAAAACTTTTCCAGACAGTAATTTTGCAATCTCTTGCTTCTAGTAGAAACGCGATGCAGGGTAGCCTAAATCATTAAAGGGGAGCTATGTGGAGATAGGCTCTGAGAACACCTTTCACAGCCTCTGTCATACTTTTCAATTTTAGACTCCTAAGACAGTTTCACCCAGATCCTTGATAACTGGCGCCATGTGTTGAGCAACTGTACATTTTTCCCTCAGTGTGAGGACTGGGGCTTGTACAAAGCTCATGCCAGGTGATGCTAAGGCAGTTCTGCTAAGCAATCCCTGAAATACAGTTTGTTTGCCTGGCTTTGAGGATTGCCTTTTTCTTACTTATTTCCCACGTGCAAATATTGTGGCACTCTTGCAGAGATTTTGGCAGGGGGAAAAAAAAGATTAAGTGGTCTCTATTAATGAGAATCATGGTAACTCTTGTGGAGTGTCTGTATTCAGAGATTAGATGATTTCCACAGTTGAATACTGCAGAAGCGGCAAAAGATAGCATGCTGATTCTGAGGGGTCTGTTGCATTCTGAGCTTCGAGTGTTTCATGTTGTAGCTGAGCATGTGGGATCAGTGAGGTTGCTTCAGCTAAAGGTGCTCTCTTGGATATCTGGGGCATGGAGCAATCTCTGTAGTGTGGTGGTTTTTAATGTGTTTTTTGTTTGCTTGTTTCTTGTTGCTGTTGTTTCTTTTCTTTTTTTTTTTTTTTTTTTTGGATGTTTTCCCTACAGAGAGAAGCAAAATTTGGTTTTGGTAAGTACAGGAGTACCACCCCTAAGACAGGCAGCTTTATGCTATAATGCAGGAGGCATGGAATCAGCACATTTTTTTGCTTTCCTGCCCTATGTAGTACTCTGGCATGCCAGCTCCATGCTCTTCCTCCAAGCAAACAACTGCAGGTACTTTGCACAACAACCATCACCAAGTCTGCAGGAAGCTGCTACTGATGACTGGAGGCTACAGTAGCAGAGACAGCATGTTGGAGAACTGCATCTTTCCCTGTGATTTCTGAAAGTTGGGACACTGAAGATCCTGAGGTAAAGTTTCGTTCTGCTTTGCTTAAGTATGGACTGTCCTGTACAGCCTGGAATGGCGGTGCCACAAAAAACTAACTAATTGCCTGGTGGAACTGTTCATTTGCATTATGCTGTGGGTTTTTTTGAGGCCTCTTGGGTGCTACAGGTCAGGACATTGCCTTGTAAATATATTGTGAAAGAAGGTATTATAAATGAGTTAAGAAGGCTCAGCCATTCAAGGCTTCCATCTCTGTGGTTCTTAATGACAACCACTTGTCCTCTCCTCCAGCAACCAAGCTATCTGCTGAACTTGGAAGCTTGCTGTCTGTTCATTCCAAATTACATCAGCTGTGATCAGCCTGAGTTGAAATCATTTCTTGAGGGAACTGACCCGCTAACTGAAGGCTGGCTTCTTGCAAGGCCTGTGGCTCGAACCTGAGCTGTACACCACAGCTTTGTGCAGTGAAAAACGGATCAGGAAGAAATAGTTCTGTCCATGAAAGCTTCTAAAAACTGTAAAAAAAAAAAGCCAACTTGGTGATGGGTAGATAACTAAGGAAAGCGAGAGAATTAATGAGGTACAATAAGGCCAAGTGCAGGGTGCTGCACTTGGGTTGGGGCAGTCCCAGGTATTTATACAGACTGGGGGAAGATCTCCTTGAGAGCAGCCCTTGGAGAAGGACTTTGGAGTCCTGGTGGATGAGAAGCTGGACATGAGCCAGCAGTGTGCACTTGCAGCCTGCAAGGCAAACTGTATTCTGGGCTGCATTAAAAAAGGGGTGGCCAGCAGGGAGAGGGAGGTAATCACCCTTGTGACTCTTGTGAGGCCCCATTTGAAATACTGCGTCCAGGTTGGGGGCCTCCGGTACAGGAAGGATGTGGAGCTCTTGGAGCTGGTCCAGAGGAGGGCCACTAAGATGATCAGAAGGCTGGAGCACCTCTCCTATGAGGAAAGGTTGAGAGAACTGGGCTTGTTTAGCTTGGAGAGGAGAAGGCTCTGGGGAGACCTCATTGTGGCCTTCCAGTACTTGAAGGGAATGTATAAACAGAAGGGGGAATGGCTTTTTACATGGGTGGATAGTGATAGGACAAGGGGAATAGTTTTAAACTGAGACAGGGGAGGTTTAGGTTAGATATTAGGAGGCAGTTTTTCCACACAGAGGGTGGTGACGCACTGGAACAGGTTGCCCAGGGAGGTTGTGGATGTCCCATCCCTGGAGGCATTCAAGGCCAGGCTGGATGTGGCTCTGGGCAGTCTGGTCTGCTGGTTGGTGACCCTGCACATAGCAGGGGGATCAAAACTAGATGATCATTGTGGTCCTTTTCAACCCAGACCGTTGTATGATTCTATGATCACGTAGCTAACACATTTGGGATAATTAAAAAATATCAATTAATGACACATGCATTACTAACAGTGTAGCTTATGATCTTGCTGTGACCTTCACCCCGCTGTCTCCCTTCCTCCACCCTTGGCCATCCTCTGTATCTAATTAAAATTCCAAAGTCCTCAGGGTGGAGCCCTGCCAATTACAGCCTACATCGAGTGCCACACGTTTCTATGGCATTATGATGTAAACAGATAACCAAGACTACAGCAATACACTCGTGTCACAAAACATTTCACTCCTTGTTTTTTTAGGACCGAAAGGGTGAGTAGAGCAGATGTTGCCATTGGAAGGAGCTGTGAGGACACACAGACAGCCCAGGAGACAGACGGAAGCACCATCATTTGCTTTTCGGCACCACGTGCTGTAATAACCTAAACACCTTAATTGCCGTGATCACGTCGTTTTTCTCCTGCGGAACACTCGGTATGTTCGGAATGCTGCTTGCTTTTCATACCTCACAAGGCTTCTCAGCACAACCCATCTTTCCTATGCCTTGTATTTGCGTTCTCTTTAGCCAACCCGCTAGAAGCTGTGCTATAATGGAGGCAGGGCCCAGGCTGGCACTGCACACGGATGGCAGAGCTCTGAGGGACTCCGATTGCTTCTGTTAAAAACTTCCGCAGCTCGGAAGGCAAGAAATGGCGGTGGAAGGTGAGGCGAGCCACAGTTATACCAGAAGCGCAGCTCTGGGCTAGCAGGTGCTGCCGCGCGGGTGCCCCGTGCCGCTGACCGTTACGTCGGTCCTTCCCCGCTGTCCCGCTACTGCCGGCACCCAATGAGCCCCACGGCCGCCCGATCAGCAGAAGCTATCGGCGCATCTCGCCCGCAAAAGCGGCTCGCCCTGCCGTGCGGTGGCGACGGGACAAAGCGTCTCTCTGGCAGCGGGCAGCCCCGCCGGCCCGGGCCGAGGGGAGCGGCGGGACCGCCGGCACCTGCCGCGCTCCGCCCGCCTCAGGGGCGCGAGGGCAGCCGGGCGGGGGCGCCCGACCAATGGTGGCGAACAAGGCCGGGCGGCCGGGCGCGGATTGGCTCCTCCCCGGCACGAGAGGGCGGGGCGAGCAGGCGCCGCCGGAGCAGCCACAGCTGCCAGGCTGCGCTTTTCAAACGCCGGCTGCGCGGGGCGGCGGTTGGCGGGGACTCGGTGCGGCCTGTGGTGCGGAGGCCGGTCGTGGCGGCTGTTGAGCGAGCGGCGGCGTTCTGCGTGGTCTCTGCGAGGAGCGGTGAGCGCGCCCCGTCGTGCGGCGGGTCCGGGCTCGAGCGGGTGCCGCGGGGCGGCGGGCGGGCGGCGGGGCGGCGGGGCGGTGAGTGTCGCGCCGCTCCCCTCGGCGGCTCGCTGGTGCGCGTCTCTGCGCTGTGGAGAAGCGCCCGGGGCAGCGCCCGAGGCGCGGGGCCTCCTGCGAGGAGATGAGGCTCGTCCCGCGCCCCGGGGGCACGGCTCGGTCGGGCTGCGGGCGGTGGCGATCGGCAGCCCCGGTGAGCGACGCGGGCGGGCCTGGGGCGGAGGAGCTTTCCGGGCGGCAGGGCGAGCTCGGTCCGGGCGTACAGCGGCGGGTCCGCGCTCCGCTGGGCTCGAGGTCCGACTGCCCGCCTCGCCGTGCGTTGGCGTCGTCTCGGTGGGCTCGGAGTACCGGTGTGCGGCAGCGCGGGCCCGGGCGGGCCGGGCGGCTGTCCCCGCAGTGATCTCGGCGCCCGAACCGCCCGCCGGCCCTCTGCCGCCCTGTCGGCCTCGGCGCTGAGGGAGGCGCGCCGTCCTGCCGCCCGGCGGGCAGCCCGCGGAGCTCGGTCGCTTGGAAGTCTGCGAACTCTCGTGCGACCTTCTGTCCGTTCCTTAGGGCTTTGGGTGCGACGTGTTGCACCGATATCGCTCCTAATTTTGGTGATAAATAACACAGCTATAGCTAATCAGATTCGAAACAAGTCGGACCGTGTTTTTCCGACGACGTAAGGTGCCCAGCTCGGCTCGGTGCCCGCTGTGTTTCTGTGTGCTCTCGATAACGCCGAGCTGAAGGGACATGTGGTTTCTTACCAGGGAAGCGCGGTTAATCCGGTGTGAGGCAAAAGCTGTTCTTAATCATGTCTTTAAGAATAGCGATATCGTGAAACAGTAGCTGTGTGTATTTAGCGGTAGCTGGCCCTTAGCTCACCTGTTCCTAACGCCAGTGCTCATGCTGAAGTCCTGCAGCACCGAGCTTACTTGCGGAGTTGCGTTCAGTGCGGGCACCTCAGAGAACAGCCTGGCGATGTAGAACTGGAGACGTCCGAATCGGTCTCTGACGTGATAAGCTGTCCTGTAAGCAGGGGGGAGAGAAATGCTGGTTTGTTACATACAGGGTGATTCACAGGCGTGCAGCCTACTGTGCGTAGGGGACCTTTGGTAAGCTTTCAGTTTATGTCATGCTTATCAAACAGTACTTAAAATTTTATCTTGAAACTGTAGAATTGTGGGTTTTGTTGTTCGTTTTTTTTTTTTCTTTTCTTTTTTCTTTTACTAGAACTAAAGCACGAATCATGATTTATACCCAGAACAGTTGCAGTATGAATTACCACGTTCTAAGAACTGGCTGTTCGAACAAGGTTCGATGGGTGCTGGGTTGTGCTTGGAACATAGCTGGGGCAAGTGCTCCCCCAGAAGCTTCTGAGAGCACGCTGCTGTCGCTTGAGAACTGAAAGTATTTTTAATGGTTGTCAACTGTGTCCAGGCTATAATTTGTCTCTGAGCTATTTTTCCTTTTTTTTTTTTTTAAAAAAAACCATTGCTAACAAAAGTAAACCTGCCCTTTACCTTGAAATAAGCTATCAGTTAAAACTGCTGATATCCTTTAGTAACCTTTTTCTGCTCTGCTTTTACATCATGCCTGAAGAGATGCTTCAGGCCTGTAAATGTGAGTGCCCAAGCTTGTTTTTTAGCTTTTAAATAGCTGCTTTTTTTTTTTTTTATCAGTAGTAGAGTTAGTATGTGTGCTATATCTTCTGAATGTGCCGTTATTCTGGTCTGCTAAGGTGATTTACTCATCATTTGGTTCTGAGTGATCAGAACTTGCAAAGAAGTTGTCTGTTCATCAGGCTTTCTAATGAGTAACCTAATTAGATTAAGTTAAAACAGCTTATAAAAAAAGTTCATTTTTTCAATTAATTTCCTCAGCATCATTTCATTCTCTTGTTTGGTTGTTTCCTTCCAGTTGTATATGTAGAGTGATTAAATGTGTAGTATTCTGGTCACATTTAAACAAGCTTTAGGCTGCTCTATTCAGATAGACATAAACCCTGATCTGTGTATATTTCCTCGCACGGTGATTGTGGAGTTGCCCTGACTCACCGTTATGTTGCTTTCACAGGTGGCTGGCAGAAAGGACAGACCTGTTCCTAACCATGTCCAGGAGAAAGATGGAGAACAGAAGCCTTTCGGGCTTGTTGGCCACGTCTCTGCAGACACAAATCAGGATGGACAATTTCCACAATTTTTACATGCTTGAGTCCAAAGAGCTGGGAAGGTAAGGCTGCTCCTGTATATCTTAGTCAGATAGATCTCTGCTGATGCGTTGATGTATGCAATGATAGACTTGTTTTCTGGCAAACTTTTGTGGCTGTGGATGAGGAATGAAGAACGATTTTCCCCACCCACCTTTCCTGCTCCCTTCTTTTCAGTGTTTGAGGCTCCATAGCATTAGGATAAAGGTACAGTGAAACATAGCATGCCAGCCTTTTCCATGGCAGAGAGGCTCAGGCTGTTCTCATAGTAATGTCAGTTGAAGATTCTGTCCTTTCCCTGTCCATTCGCACAGTACATTACAGGGATATAAACTCAAGAAGAGATAACTTGGAGAAGTATTGCAAGACAAAGAATGGCGCTTCTGAGCTGGTGATGCTGGCTGTTCAGTTGAGGGTTGGCTGTTTGTTGTTTTTAAGTCCAGAAAACAAAGACCTCTTTTTCTCTGACCTTTTATGGTTACGTTTCTAACAACCAAGGGTAATTTGGCCGTCTGCTTCCTTTACTCATGTTTGCAGAAGTAAAATAGCAAATGAAAGAAAACAAAAGTATTTGTGTTCAAGGCATCTGAATTATGCTTATTTAAAATCAGTGGGTTAATTTGTACCTTGAAAATATTCAGGGAACTGTGTATAAACCCACACAAATGTAATAGGGTGGTGATGCTTCCAAGTTCCTTGAATGCAAATGACGTGGGTCATTTGTAATTTGTTAGGCATTTCTATGCTGAACAGTGATCCTTCCTACCTCTAGCTTAGGCAGGCATAACTTTGTAATCTCTTTCACCTCTTTAGTTCTCCTGGTTACTCCAGTATGTTTTTATCTCATACTCTTTATAGAAGCACACCTTGTAGCCCTTAACTTTCCTCTGCTTGTGGCACTTTGTTAGCCCTAACTCTGAATGCCAGGCTCTACAGAACCAGTTCCATGTACCAACTCTGATATTCTTCAAATGCTGGATTTTCAGATCGTACTTAGCTGTGATGCGAGATGATGAGATGATGTCTAAAGCAAATAAAGGCATCTTCTTTGCTTCGACTCCCAGCCTCAGTTTTTAGTACTTTATGAACGTGTGAAAGCAGATATTTAAAAAAAAAAAAAAAAAAAAGCCAAAATGCAAAGAATCAGAAGTAGTCAAGCATCTTTTCCAAATATGGTTTTTCAGCTTTTCTGGCCTAACAGTTTGCGTGTGTTCACTTGCAGTTTTCATCTACCTTTAAGTCATTCTTTTGTTCTTCGCTACTCAACTCTCCCAAGTCCCTTTCATTCCTCCCACAGCCTTATCTTTTAGGTCCTTTGGTACTGAAGGCATCGACTCGTGGAGCAGGCAGGTTCTGTTTGGTGGGTTATAGTAGTTCTGTCCTCAGTGTGGATGGCTTGACTTCTGTTAAAGGAGTTGAATTTCTGTGGTTTATAACTTGAGATATGGAAATAAGTAGAAATGGAGCTGCGCAATACACCTCTCCAGCATTTCATTTGCTTTGCAGGCAGTAAGGAGGAGGGAAGCACTGTGCTTGCTTTAATGCAAGATCTCAGATCTAACTTCAGATCTAACTTTTTTCATTTCTGGGGAAATTCCATCACTCAAACAATTCTATGAAGAAAACTTGGCTGGACTTGTTTCTTCAAGCCGCAGCTTTTCCGTTAAGCTGAGATGCTATCTCATGTGACAGTTTCCAAGTTTTGGTGATGCTTTTTCATTGCTTGTTCGAAAGATCACTGTTAGCTGTTCTCGAGACTCAGCATATCTTGAGACACTGAGTAATATGGCAACTTCATAACTTCAACCAGAACGTTAACTTCTGTGTGGTTTCCGTAACGCTTTCAGCTAACAGAAACAGTTTTCAGCAGTTTTGCATGTGTATGTTAATTTGTATGCAGATGCTTTTAGAACTGAAGTTTTATTTTTCCAAGTCCTTGCTTAAAAAAAGATGTAGTGTCTTTGTCCTTGATTGCCTCTTCTCTAGAAACTTCTTTTGTCTACATGACGAGCAATAGGTGCTGCATATTTGAATGAGTTGTTTATACACCTGTATATCCTACCTTTGAGCAAGTTTGTTACATTTGCTCGGGCACAGCAGGAAAACTATGAAAGTAGCAGTAAAAAGATGGAAGATGCTGTCCGCTGTGAATGGTTTGAGGTAAAGGGCACGGAGTCAGTCATGAAATATCTGAGGTCTGTGCAGATTGAAGCACACAGGAGAGTCCAGGCTGGAGAAAGTGATGCTGGAGCAGGCCCAGAGGAGGGCCACAAAGATGCTCGGAGGGCTGGAGCACTTCTACTGCGAGGACAGGCTGAGGGAGCTGGGCTTGTTCAACTTGCAGAAAGAAGGGCTCCAGAGAGACCTCACTGCAGCCTTCCAGTACTTGAGGGGAAGCTTATGAACAGGAGGGGGAGGGACTTCTTACATGGTCTGACAGTGATAGGACAAGGGGGAATAGCTTTAAACTAAAAGAGGAGGAAATTTAGGTTAGAAGTTAGGAGGAAATTCTTTACTCAGAGGCCAGCACAGGCTGCCCAGGGAAGCTGCGGGTGCCCCCATCCTGGAGGCATTTGGGGCCGTGCTGGATTGGGCCCTGGGCAGCCCAAACTGGTAGGTATCAATCTGCCCACAGCAGGGTTGGGACCAGGTGCTGTTTGAGGTCCTTTCCAACACAAACCATTCTGTAATTCTATGATTAAAGTCAGAAAATGACATTATACTGAAGGAGTTCTGAGGCAAATTCAGTATTGGTTTTGTGAACTTTTTTCATACTGGAGATATACTAATAGTGTTTACCACGCTCTCTAAGTATTTACTTTTCAAGTTACTGCTGTTTTTATTGTTTTTGCACATTAAAAGATGTGATTTTTGTCTTCATAGCTTTAAATGTTAAATTATTGGCACCCTACAAATATCACATAAAAAAAAGTAGAAATTCATACATCATGGATTTCTTCTGGAGATATCTCTGATCCTTCAGAGCTGCTGTACCTGTTGCTGCTGGGAGTGCAATGCTCAAGAACTCAGCAAAGGTCTTCCTCTTCTCTTGAAACTCAACCAGTTCCTCTTCTTGAATTTTAGAGAAACTCCCATGGTAGATGGAGTAGTGTGATGTTAAAATGAGTCTGTAAGCTGTGGGTAATATCTACAGACTTCAGTATATTAAGAAATGTAGGTCAGTGACTTCAAGCTCAGCAATAATAGCTCGTTTAGCAGTTGGGAAAGCACTTGGCTATTTCAGGCTTACAAAGAGTTGCTAAAATCAAGAGTGTGTACACATACCCGGTTGTAAATCACTTTTGCTTCTTGATTTTGCTTTTCTGAATTTACTAGATAAGAAATAAAAGACAAATCTAGTGTTGAAATAAATGATGACAGAGGAAGAGTTCTGTTGTGTTTATTTCTAAATAACTGACAGCAGGATGAATACAAGGCAGCTCTGCATCTCCTGTGATTCAGTTGCATATGCACAGTGTATTTAACATGGTTGTGGTCTGTTTCGTTCTGAGAGAAGCTGGTACAGCATAGACTGTAAGGGAAAAAAACCTTAGATGTGTGTTTTGTGTCACAGATGTTCCTTTTAGGCACTGTTCTGCTCAGTTTTGCTTTCTTCTGTTTTGTTCTGCACCAGAAGGAAGGCTCAGCCTGCAGGACAGCACCATCTCCCCTGCTGAAGGAGCTAGGATGGCTGAAAAAGAGCAGCTTATGTAGCTGGTGCTGAGCCTCTCCTCTGCTTTGTTCACGTGCAAATGCGGTGTTTGCTTGAAGCCACAGATGGAGGTGTTTTTCTTTGCAAATGGTTTTGAAACTGTTCTTAAATCTTTAAACAGTTTTAGCCCTTCAGGTGTTTTTCTTTTTTTTTTTGTTTTGTTTTAATGGTATTTCTTGTATAATTTGAAAACACTTTGCAAATATGCAGTCAGGCATTTCTGGGAATGCACAACTCGTGATTATAAAACTAGGGTGGTTGGTTGGTTTTTTTTTGGTTTTTTTTTTTGGTTTTTTTTTTTTTTTCAGGAGTTTAAAAGCTGGCTTAAAAAACTGCATTTTTCCCCTAATTTTTTAAAAGGTCAGCTGGGTGGTTTAACTACACTGTGTGGTTTTCTTTTACAAACACATCTTTGCCAGAAGACATTTTTGTTTCCATACCTAAACAGTTGGCTGGGAAACAGAGCAGCTCACTTAGTCTGACTGCAATTGGAAAAGGGAGTGCTAAGCAGTGGGTGTTTTTCTGATTAGATGTTTCTAAGCTTAGTGTGTTAATGTGACTTCTTAGCAGTCCTGCATCATTTGTGAATGGAAGGATTTTTTTTATGACTTCAAAGTTTTCTGCACAGAAGAACTTTGCCTCTGGCCGCAGTGTAGAGTGATGCTTTCTTTTCCCCTACATTCTTTCTGTTTTTCAGTTGTTTTGTTCTACTGTATCCTGCTGGTGTGTCCTGTATCTTGTATGTGCTATACTATGTGTGTGTACTTTGTTGAAAAGGCAAACAAAACCCAATGTTGCCAACCTGAACAAAGCCCTGAGCAGCCTGAGGTGACCTCCTTGCTGTCCCTGTAAGAACATGGCCAGCTCAGAACATAAGGGCAGACTGCCAAGCCTTTTTAGTTCTAATGGCAATCTAATTACTTTTTCTATCTGAAGTTCTGATGTATTTTTCCTTTTATTTTGTAGAGGAAGATGTGGTGTGGTTAGAAAATGTATAGCTAAATCCACAGGTCAAGAATATGCAGCTAAGTTTTTAAAGAAAAGAAGAAGAGGTCAAGACTGCAAAGCGGAGATTCTTCATGAAATTGCTGTGCTTGAATTAATGAAATCTAATCCTCGCATAGTTAATCTCCATGAAGTCTATGAAACAGCAAATGAAATCATCTTAGTGTTGGAATAGTAAGTATGCCTTTGTCACGTGTCCCATGCTGATAGTTACCAACCTGTCGCTGTTTGCTTTTTGCTTGACTTGTCTGCATGCCTGTAAGAATTGCAACACTACACTGTATACAATATGCTAATATTTCATGATGATTTTTTAACTTACTAATATCTATTAAGATCTTGGGGGCCTTTTGGTGTGACTTATTCTCATGTAAAATCAGGAGTTGCATTCATTGCTGCCACTTCACTCCTTGATTTTGGATGTGTATTTTGTGCAATTTGTAGCTAATGAGCTGTGTTGGACTATGGAATAGAGACACAGCAAAACACGCCAAAACCTATACTAGTTCTTTACTCAACTTTTGCAATGTGCTGATAGATTTATTTTTTTTACAAAATTGCTTTTAGAAAAACAAAGCTGCTTCTTTCCCAGGGTTGCATAACTCATTTCTGTAGGTGCTTTCACTCATTTCAAACTGGAACTTTTTTTGTGCCTTCAAACAGCCCCACTCAGGAGTCTGTTGAAATGTGAGCAAGTCATTCCGTTCACCAGCCTCTGTTGGATATTCTGGTCAAACAAAGCTAATATAAAGCCTGATCACAAGTTCTACGGTGTGATATGTAGTTCTTTTTCTTAAAGAATCTCTTATGTCAAGCTGAGCAGAGCTTCATCTTGCATCCCTTGAAGATGGATAGTGCTTTGAAGCATCTTAAATCATACCAAAAAAGGACTGTTTAATTCCAAGTACTGATTTCAGAGAAGCTGAGCATGTTGATCCTCTGTGCTTTAATGTCAGCATGAGACTTCTTGGTGACTGAAAATAGCAGTTCACTTGTGGATGTTGAGCTTCTGAAGCCACTGTTTCTCTTGCTGTAAAACTGCTTAACTTCTGTAGCTGTTTCCTCCAAAATTCATGTCTTTTCACATGCCCTTGTGGCTGCTCATAGCTCTGAAAACAAGTGTTCTAGTGTGGGAATTAGTTTGAGTTATTCATCATAATGGATGTATGTTTAAATGTTTGTAATGTGAGAAACAAAAATGTAGTTGGTGAGATAAACTCAGCAAGTTATTTTCTAAATAGGATTTAAGCTTTGCTTCAAATATATATATTTTTTATCATAGATTCATAGAATGGCCTGGATGGAACCAGAATGATCATTTAGTTTCAACCCCCTGCTATGTGTAGGGTTGCCAACCACCAGACCAGGCTGCCAGAATTATGCAGTGGTGATCTGCGTGCATTGTGATAAACTCCTTTTGCTGTGGCTAAATTGTTCTCCAAAAGAGGAGGGGGGGGAAAAAAAAAAAGAGAAGGAAAAAAGGAACATTTTTTTCCCCTTAGAACTAAGTGATCCCTAACACCTTAGTGAGGACTAAAGCACTAATGTGGAAGGCAATGTCCAGATGACAAGTATTGAACTTCATATTAAGAACAAGTTCACGTAAAAGCTGTACTGATGTATTTTTTTCTCACCTCAGTTTCAGCTCAGCTACTTCTGTCTTGATTGTGAGCCTGTATGCTTCTTGCAGTCTTTGTCCTCATACAGTCCCAGCAACCAGAAGTGTTGTAGTGAAGATAAATATCTGCCAGTTCCTTTTAGAATGTGTTTATGGACATCTGTGAAGCTGTTTTATATTTGTGTTTGTTTGTTTTTTTTTTTTTTTTTAACACTGTGATACTATCAGCTTCTGTGGTAATAGAATCATGGGGATGGGAAGGGACTTTCAGAGATCACTGAGTCCTTCCTCCTGCTAAAGCAAGTTCCCCAACAGTAGGTTGAGCAGGAAGGCATTAGGTGGGTCTTGAATATCTCCAGAGAAGGAGGCTCCACAACCTCCCTGGGCTGCTTGTTTCATTACCTGATGTGTGAGGAAATACTACTTTTTTGTCTACGTAATCAGCTCTTTTCTTCAGGTGTCTCCTGGTTGTCATGCTGGGGATTTGATAAATGACAGTTCTTATTTATCTGTATGCTGACCCTGATTGTTTTGTCAGCACCATTCATAGGCTTTTGCATAACACTCTACTCAAACTTTACGAGTCAGTGTTTCTTTGGATTCTCCTTGTAAAACTGTCTGCCCTTGTGTTTGCCCTGCTCTGTATCATCAGTAGTCTTACTATCTACTGCTTGAAGGTACGGAGACCAGATCTGCATAGTAAGCTTTTATACAGAGCATCATTTTGCTGCTTTTTGGTGTTATCAGCAGCCTTCCTGAGGGTACTGAATGTATGCTGACTTCTTTGGCTTGCTGCTTTGTATTTCTCCAGTAATTCCAAAGAATGTCAGTTGAGATTTCCTGAGCTATGCCTTTCAGTTCAAGTTTTGGTGTTATGGAGGTTGCATTGGCTTATTTTCCTGAAGATAACTTGTTTGTATATGCTACTGCTAGCTCATCTGCTGCTCTTTTACTTGCTTTCTCAGCTGAACTTATTTAGTGATTTCTTTGAACTGGGGAGCCAAAAACAGGAGGCTGCATTCTAGCTGTGGTCTACAGTGCTGAGCAGTCATTTACCTCAACCTACTCACTGTTATTGCAGCCCAGAGTGCTGTTAGCCTCCTTTGCTGCATTCAGTTTGCTGTCGGTGAGCACCCCAAACAGTGAAGCTGTTCAGCTCTTTACACATCTGGTCCACCCCTTCAGTTAGAAATAATAAAAATAATAGCTTGGATACAGGAATACTGTGGGAGACCATTGAAAGCTTTCCTAAACTTGAAGTCTCTCCTCTTTTTTGTCAAATGCAGTTAGGTAAGGCGTTAGTGACACCTCACGTAGCCTCAGCAGGTTACTAACTGTCCACGTTGTCCAGTATCCTTCCCTTTTTATAGACTCATATTACTAAAGGTGAAACTCATACTTAACTAATCTGTTTCTGACGTTTTCTGACGTCTTTTTCTCTTTAGCCTTCAGATGGGAGCTTCAGGCAGTTAGAACAGGCTGAGTAATGGTTTCAAACCCAGCTTGGAAAGAAACAGCTGACACTGTGGCAACATGTAGCGTGTAACTAAGAAACCACATGCAAGATGATTACACAAGGTTATTTCCATGCTCCCTTTATGCTTTGCTAATGGTAGGGTTCTGTAAGTAAACAACAGCCTGCCTTTTTTTTTTTTTTTTTTTTGAGGAAGACATACTGAGATACTTTAAAAAAAAATAAAAAAAAAAAAATTAAAAAATCTAGTCAGTGTCATCTCTGTTGGAAGTGGTAGATGTCAAACTGACACAGCTAAGTCCCTGTATTTCAGAGTATTCTGTGCCTACACGAGTTGAAGGCTTTGCTCACTGTCTGACCAGGCAGCTTTTCATTTCGTCATGGTCAGTGTGCTGCATCTTATTTCTTGTACCTGCCAGACAGAAAGGACTGATATCTAGTCTTCCATCAGAATGGTAAGGTCTGTGGTAGCAAGTATGCAGTTTCCTCTTGCTCCAGAGGTGATCCTCTACAACTCAGTCTGTTCCTTCAATTGAAGTTGGTTCATGTGACAATAGTTTTAGTCCCCAAATCAGAAAATAGGAATGTTGTTTTTTTTTTTTTAATCTGCAATCATTTATGGAATTAATTGAAGAAATTTCAGCTGTAACTTGTGAAGGTGTTTTCTATTAAGAACTGATGATAGATCTAATCATCCTCGAGGCATCTCAGGCTCACTTTCAAAGTAGCAAGCTTGAGTTTTCCAAACACATAAGAGCAATTCAGCCACAAAATTCTGTTCCACCACCTGAACTTCTGTAGTTAGACATGAAGGAAGAAAAAGCATTATCAGATATCTTCACTCTTCCCTTTTTCCTTTAAGTAACGTCTTGAGGTGAGTGTGTTCAAAAAGAGGGGGGGAAAAGGCCTTATTTTCTCAGCCTCTTGGATGAATATTTGGTAAATAGCTACTGATAAATACATATAAATTAAACATAGATATTATATGTAAAATTTTTCTCACTTGAGCTTTCGAGTTTAATACGTTCATGTTCCTGAATGTATTTCAGTGCTGCTGGAGGAGAGATCTTTAACTTGTGTGTCCCAGAGCTGGATGACAGAATTGCTGAATGTGACATCATAAGGCTTATCAGGCAAATACTTGAAGGACTTTGTTGCTTGCATGAAAAAAATATTGTCCATCTCGATTTAAAGGTGAGACTGCATCAGGCTTTTTTAGTACTTTGTCTTCAAGTTAATATTGTGATAATCATAATAATTTGTTAAATACATAGCAAAGATGAGAAAACAGTGTACTAGGGAGAAAATAACTTAAAAACAAAATTCAGTAATGTAAATAAAAAAATAACAATATGAACTGAAATGTTATTTATTATTATTTTTTTTGCAGTTTGTATTCTGTGAGCTGAGAATTTTTTTCTGTTCTAGCCTCAAAATATTTTGCTGAGCAGCATCAATCCTCTTGGTGATGTGAAGATTGTAGATTTTGGCATGTCTCGGAAGATTGAGAATAGCACTGAACTGCGGCAAATCATGGGAACCACCGAGTATCTCGGTATGAAAGAGCTGCATCAGGATTTCTGATGTGTGAGGAAAAAACAGTTGATGAAATGTGCTTATCAACTTGTCAGTCATTACTGGAGAACAAAGCAGCACAAGGCAGCGTGTTGTTCTGAGCTGCTCTTTCTTTAGAGAAATTAACTATTACTTGCACGCACAAAAAGCATTATACCAATCAGCACACCTTATTTCCTGCTGTAGCATTTGTTCTGTTGTAGACTACTACTGAATAGTTGTATGGCTTCAATTAATGAGAACTGTTGAGTATGATTTGAAATCAAAATATTCTTGGAAAAGCAAAAAACTGCCTTTAACACTTGGCCTGCTGAGGTTTCCTTCTTAAAAAAAAGTAAAACAATAAGAACCAGAATTGCCTACACCTGTTTTTCTACGAGCAGGTGAATCTGTGGTGAATGGCATGGTATCTAACATATGCTAACAGCTGCTGGCAATTAAATTGGCGTGGTCACCTGGCTTTGCAGTGTTAACTCATGCCTTCCCTGAAAAAAGCTGTGTACTTGAAATTCTCTTAGGAAGGTCTTTTAGATGCATACATCTGATGTGGGAATATCTTGGGACTTGTATAGAGTAGATCTTAAGCCACGTAGTAACATTTCAGTGTGAACCACTCAAATTTCAGTGTCTAATCAAACTGGAATAATGTTTTCACCCTCTGAAGAAACTTAAACCTGATTGCTCAAATATCATCATGCTTTCTCTCTTGATAATGATTAGCGAAAGTTGACAGAAAAGCTGATAGAAATGTAGTGTACGATTCAAGGGTACTTGAACAACATGGCTATTAAGATGTTTTCCCCTTTTTTCCTTCTCTTCCTGTAGCTCCAGAAATCTTAAACTATGACCCTATTACCACAGCCACGGATATGTGGTAAGTTGTCTGTGTTAATTTGTTTTACTGAGGTAGATGTGACCAGTTAACAATCTGCATGCCAGTTCCAGGCTCTGATGCAGCTTTATCTGGTTCCTACGAATAGTTTTCTGTGGGTGGGCTGAACAAGAGAGGGGCTGGCTGAAGGAGGTATGCTCTGAATATAAACTGGAGTTTACACAAATTTCTGTCTATGCCTTTGTTGCTCACCTGCTGTGGACTGAAGTGGCTTCTCAACATACAGAGTGTCCTTCTGTTTGGAGGAAATAGTGGCAATTATCTGATAGCACACTTTAGCTGTTAGTTACCTGAAACATGTTATCTGAGAGTATTAACTGCTCTGGGCACTCCTCCCTGACTGTTTTTGTATCGTTAAATAATCTTATTATGGAAATGTTAAGAAGTAAGTTAATTAAAGATAGTACTTAACTTTAGACCAACATCAATTTGTATGGAATGTCATAAAAATGAAAGGATACTGTAACACAAGTCAGATCCTAATTGCTGTTATGGAAAGGTGGGCTACATCTCAGACTTAAATACTACTTCTAGAATTTGTGTGAAATAATGGCTATTTTTTATTTATGTGCAGATAAGAGCTTGTTTTTTGCAGTTCTTTCTCTCAGAACTGCCATATCTGCAAGAACAGACTTTGTAAAAGTTATATATTTCCTTTTGGTAACTGTCTGTGTGGCAGGAAATAAAAGGTTTATTGTAAGTAAGCAATTAAAAAGAAAAGTCCTTTCATGGAGATATAGGTGAATTTCCTTGTGTGTATACATGCATTTACACTTGAATCATATAGAACTGAGAGGTCACGTGCTGGGTTTAGTTCTGAGTGTAGCATACATCAAGATGTTTTATCTACAGCAAACAAGTATGAGAAGATAAATTCCTTTCACGCTGTGTTCTTACTTCAGGAACATAGGTGTAATATCCTACATGCTGCTGACTCAAGAATCTCCATTTGTGGGAGCTGATAATCAAGAAACTTTTCTTAATATATCTCAAGTTAATGTGGATTATTCAGAAGAAACATTTTCATCAGTTTCACAGCCAGCGAAAGACTTCATTCAAAAACTTCTCATAAAAAATCCTGAGTAAGTAATGTACTCTTTTATGTCTGTGCATACATGGACAACATGAATGTTAACCTGGGATTTTGTTAATATCCATTAATATTTCACAATGTGCTGGTATTATCACCTGGATGTTTAAAAGTGTAGGTTTCTGCTTTTCTGTAGAGTAAGTAAGGGATCTTTGGTTCATTGGCTGTTTTTAAAGTCAGGTACAGTCTTTGAGTTTTGCTCACTTTCAAATTTTGACTTAATATTTTTCATTTGAAGGACTGACTATTCACAAATCTTATGAAATGTATTCTGGAAAGTTCAGGTTTTTGTCTACAACCTAACATTTTGTTACACAGTTAGGACAGACAAAATGTAATCTCTCTGATGTGTGCTTGGGTGTTTCCTGACATCTTTAATGGAGCTTTTTACTTGAATGGCTTTTATATCAAAACCTGGTTGTCTTGTGACTGTATGTTTTTTCTTCGTACTATGTACATGTTCTTCAGGAATACATATATACATGTGTATATGTATAGTGTTTTGCCACGTTCAGTTGCTTAAAAAAATTTTCCAACCAAAAGCACAAACTTCTTTTTGCTTCTAATGTGTCCAACCATAACTTAGTGTTCTTTGGAAGTTTGGATACTGATTACGGCCTTTCAAAGTAGCTGAACTCTCAGAAAATGGCCTTTGAGAATAGGAAAATGATAGGGGTTGGTTAACTGTCTGTGCTTGCTATGTGGTGTTAAATGGGGACTTGTTTTTATCCTTTGCACTAACAAATGTGCACTAAAAAAAAGTGTGTATATACTGGAGAATAATGTTTAGTGAAATCAGCTAGTCATGTTCCTCTAAGTTTTGTGAAGTAATATTGCTTGTATTGCTATGTATTGTCACTTGTGGTGACGCAGTAGTTACTATCTTCAGCAAGCAGGAGTTGAACAGTCTGGTTCAGAAAGTGGTTCTATGACAGTAAGGGAGGATGATAGTAGATGATATCCATGAACTTTCTATTTTGAGGAAATAAGGGTTCCGTATAAACATATGTAGATATAATCACGGGTGAACAGTTCTTTCTACATAGTTATCTCATGTGGAGGCTTTGTCAGTAGCTGGAGCAAGTCACAGAAACCATATCATTGTGAAGGAAGCAATTATGAAGAGTTTGCTTTGGTAAATGTTAATGTGGGCCTGCAGAATGTTTGGCTTTCTGCCACAGTTAGTACTCTACTTTCTCTATTCTGGGCATCTCAGTCTTCATTATGCACTTGGTAACTCTTTTCCAATTCTGATTCTTGGTTCGTATTTCTTTGAGAATATTACGAGGGAAAAATCTGTCCTCAGATTGTCAACTCCATAATAAGACTTCTCTGAGCAGAAAATATTGATGTCTTCTTGTATTGTAGAACTTAACAATGTAAAACTGGGGTAGCAATACACTAGGTTATCCAAAGTAATGATTTCATAAATCTGTTGGGAAGTAAATAGATCTTGGGAAGAGTTTGTACCAGACTATGATGAATTGCATCTGTAAAACATTGCAAAATGTCTGATAGAGTTGATGACAGCGTGTCCTTTGGCCTTTCTTGAAAACATCATGACTGAATATTCATGAGCCTGATTATAACAATCTGTACAAAATGTAGAACTTCAAAAGCATAAGCACAAGCACATATATATAAATAAGGCTGAAAGCATCCCAAGGGACTGAACACTGGCTGTTTATTGTTGTGATGAAAAGTTTACCAGTTTGGACATCCAGCAGCAGGGAAAATTGTCAGCTGAAATCTAGATGCGTGTTGCCAACACTTAATCCTGAACCATGGTAAGGTTCCAATGTGTTTTTTAGCAGCAGTGGTGGGGGAAAAAAATAGCAATGTGAATTCTGTAGTGTCAATTCTCATGTATGCTGAGAAGTTCTAAGGTGTATTTTAATGATGGTTTTAGTATTTCTGGAATTAACTTAAGCAGTTTACCGTTTGTTCTTTCTCTTTCGAAGGGAAAGGCCCACAGCAGAGGCCTGTCTCTCCCATTTCTGGTTGCGGCAAGGGGATTTCATACTCTTGTGCAGCCCTGAAGAACCTTGCTGCCCATCTCTGATGCCAGGACATGCAACAAAATGCTCAGAAGAGCGGCATGTGAGATCCAGTTGTAATGGCACTTGCAGCGACAAGGAAGACAAAGAAAACATCCCAGAGGACAGCAGTACAGTCTCCAAACGCTTCCGGTTTGACGATTCACTGCAATATCCCCAAGACTTCGTGACAGACTTTGTATGTTAATGCGTAACATAGACTTTCATAAGAATGGGTTGAGTGTAATCTATTCCAGCGGCAAGTGCAAGATTGGCTTGCCAGTTTGTGCAGTGTTGCTGTACTGGAAACGCACTTTGATTCTTTATTCTGGTGCTTGCTTTTCTATCCGTTGCTGGCAATGGGTTTAACTCCTGAGAATTGGAGTTGTAGCACCAGTAAAATGAATTATTTTTTTAAGAAGATATAATTAAATATTTTTTGCACTTTTTAAATTTCAGTCCAAAAATGATGCCAAATTAAGGCCTGTACATGTGTTGAGATAAACTCATTTTATTGAGTTTTTGCCTAAACTTTGAGCTTTGCCAAACAGCAGTTGAACAGCGTGTACGTTTTTATGACTAGCCTTCAGAAGCGGGTCTAAGTAGGTAGAACTGAATCTAGCTGTCTTAATGGGCATATCTGTGACCTTTCTCCTAGATTTAAATGACAGCTAAAAGCAGCATTCTGGGATGATTGATCTGCTGGGGCCATCTGGAAAACTGCTTTTTCTCTGGTGTCGTTAGTAGTTAAGGAAGTGTTTTTCTGGTCCACCTAGAGATTGAAATGTATATTGAGCGAGGTGTTTTTCCATTGTTTCCTGTGGATGCATGTAATGCTTGAAAAGAAAACGGGTAGATGGTCAGTCCTTGTGTTAGTGATACATTGCTTCTTACCAGTGAGTTAGATTTGAAGAGGACAAGTTTTCCATTCTGTTGTGATTATTTGATACACGTTAGTTGTCTTTCATAAAATATCTGAAGTATATTGTCTAGAATTATTGACCTATTCCTTATCTTAAAACCAAAAAATGAACACAAAGCCATGAAATGCCTTAAGTTCAAATTAATAACTGAATAAACTGAAAATGACTTTTTTTTTTTTTGCCAGTAGAGTTGCAATTAAAAGCTTTTCATTATGCCTTTTTAATGTAGATGTGCAGTGGGTTTTTCTGTCAATTACTGTTATTCACACAACTTAGCTTTATGCCTGCCTTGAGAAATGGACTGCAGTGTGTTAATATTTAAAGGCAAACGACCCAGTAATTATTTTAAGTCTTTTCATTTGCTTTGTTTAATGTGTTTGTTATGTGTTCAAGTTATATCCCTTTCAATTCCTGTTTCTAGGCTCAGAGAAGTAATGCATAAGTCAAACTTCAGCTTAGAGCAAACATCAGTCATGTCTCAACAGCCTGAAACTAACAGTTTAACACAGAAAAACTGACAAGATCCTAATCATAACACTGAAGCTAAAACTCTGTGTAGAAAATATATTAAAACTTCTGTAAGTATTCTGAAAGTAAATGGTACTTTGAAGTAGTTCTAAGCCCTGAGGATTAGAAAATTCCAGACTTAGTCTCCTTAATTTGGTTTCTTTTATTTAATAAAATATCACAATCTAATACTTTTCCAACTGTGGCTGTTGATCCAACGATAGTTAGGCAGATGGAGGCTTTGAAACATCGTATGATTGAGATCGTATGGTAATAATTGGTATAAGTTTGTACTTCAGCTTTCTTCACAAAAGGAAGGAACAATTTTATTATTTTAGATTTAAATGCAAGCTTTCACTATGAAGCATGGGGGGGAGATAGAGGACTTCTGTCTTTTATTTTGGGTGATGTTCTGTGGAAAGTCAGCTGTGGTGTCCTTAGCTTGTTTGACAGAAGTGAAAAAAATTCCCAAGACTTGATCTCCAATGCAATGAAATAATAGCATGAATGAAGCTCAGATGCCTCAGTATAAACAAACTGCACTGATTTCCCTCTGCGTATTCCTATGCAGTTTTTACAGTGGTAATGATAATATATATACATACAGAGTTATTAAATGCCTTTGCTGGGGTTAGTTGTTGGATTGTGTCCAGGTACTCTATACCTTTACTTTTCCAAGTCCTTGGCCTTTTCCACGTGGACTATTATTTCTCTCTTTCTTCACTAGTGTGGAGTCTGAATTTGAACTGGGCAAATTAAAAATGCAAACTATTTTACTATGCAATTAACATTCACTCAAGTTAAAGATGAGAACATCAAAAAGCTGTAATGGACAAAGGTAGAAAAGATGGTTTCTAAAACAGCTTCACTTTCAAATTTTCCAAAATTATCACTGACCTGAAATTGTAACTGGAAGCTTGTGGAAGTCTTTCCAATAGTTTTCTTTTTTAGTGTTTGAAAAATAAAGCTGAAGTTATGTGCCAGCACTTTATGAAGAAGTTACTGTTCCTTAAGTTTTTAAATCAAGTTATCTGATGTTTACATTTCTTACTACTTTTGGAGTTAAGTTATCTTTAAATAAATGAAGATTTGTCTTCTCCAAGGAACTTAAATTCTGAAGTTTGTACTTCATGTAAATTCGAAGTATAAGTTGAGCCAAATTTTGTTTGGATCAGTTTATTGAGTTGATATTGAGTTGCATTGAGTTTATTTTAAAAATATTACTGTGCACACATCGCTTTGCTTGAAGGTAAATACGTACATTGAAGAAGCCAATTTTTAGCCCATCTTGCTTCCTGCCATATTACCGGAGAGATAATCTGGTGAGTGATGAGGAACGTTTTAAGGTGATTTAAGACGTATTTCTATGCAGTTCAAGACCATTTTATATTTAAATAAATAAACTTTTCCTTTTTTCAAAACTGTGTTTTCATTTTTTCACAGCCTTGCAAAACTGTGTTTGGAGGGACATGAGGAGGTCATCTGATCCAGCCTCCCTGCTCAAGTAGGGCCACCTAGAGCTGGTTTCCCTGACCACATCTGCTTGCTTTCCTACCTCCAGAAAGGGATCATCTCTCTTGACCTGCTGGCAAGACTTTAGTTAATGCAGCCTGGGATACCATTACCTTCTTTGTGGCAAGGGAACCTCACCTCCTTTCATGCAAGGGTGTTTTCCAGCTGCGTGGCCCCCGATGTTGGTGCCTTGGGCTGTCTGTCTCTGGATGCAGGGCTTTGCACTACTTGTTAAATTTCATGAGGTTTCTATCAGCCTATTTCTCCAGGCTTTTGAGGTCCCCCTGGATAGCAGTGCAACCCTATCTGTCATTCCTCACAGTTCTGTGTCATCTGCAAACTTGCTGTGGGTGCATTCTGCCCCATCACAGGTAATTAATGAAGATGTTAGATGATGTATTCTAATGGCTTTGGCAGAATGACCATGTAAATTTAAATAGAATGTTTATTACACGAATATTAGCCTCCTAGGGCACTAACTGTACATCCGTTAAATCTTCAAGTAGAAGGCTCAACCGGAAATACAAGCCTTTAGGAAACTAGTTAAATTCAAAAGGAGTGGTAATGTCTTGTGATATGGGTACTATATTTTCTACAAAGGCACATTTCATTGAAAAGAAAGCTCTCGCATTGTTAGAAAAGCACAAATGAGCTTCCTTTTTAGTGAAGGAAATTCATTAGTGTATTCATTAGTTCAGTGCTGCTTACAGCAGTAAGATTAGAAATAATTTGAATTTTTTCTGTACTGAAGGTTCTTCTAAAGAATGCTGTTCTATTTATTTATTTTTAAGGCATCAGTAAAACCCTCCTGTTTAATACTGCTAGTGACTTGGGACAGCTTGATTTCTCACTTCTCAAAAAGTTTTCTAATCTAAGAAAGGAGGTGTTAGAAAAATGTATAGTCCAGATGATCATAAAATGCTGGGTTGCAAAGGACCACAATGATCATCTAGTTTTGATCCCCCTGCTTTGTGCAGGGTCGCCAACCAGGAGACCAGGCTGCCCAGAGCCACATCCAGCCTGGCCTTGAACGCCTCCAGGGATGGGGCATCCACAACCTCCCTGGGCAACCTGTTCCAGTGCATCACCACCCTCTGTGTGGAAAAACTGCCTCCTAATGTCTAACCTAAACCTCCCCAGTGTTAAGTTTAAAGCTGTTCCCCCTTGTCCTATCACTGTGCACCTCATAAACAGTTGTAAGGCTGCACACTTTTGTGTTTTCATCTTTCCTATTTCCCTCCAGTGCTAGAGCCAGGTTGGCACAATTTTGGCTAAGAATGGCAGGGCAGAATTCCCTCTGGGAAACTTTGATATCTAAAATCTACTAAGGTTGCAAAGATGGATAAGGAAGTGTGTAGTCTCTGGGACTTAAGTATGCTGCCTATGAAGTCTTTCTGTTGAGTTGAGAAATAGGAGACTAGTGCAAGCAGGTGGATTTGTCTGTCATGGGATGGGGCATCCACAACCTCCTTGGGCAACCTGTTCCACTGTGTCACCACCCTCTGAGTGAAAAACTTACTAGTATCTAAGCTAAACCTCCCCTGTCTCAGACCATTCCCCTCGTCCTACCATATGATAGCTGCCCATCTTTCTAACAGGACAGCTGTGATTGTACTGCTGCCAAATAAGTTAAGTTGCACTTGGAACAACATCTTGTAAAGTCAGGGCAAGATAAAAACATGCAGTTGTATTATTTTTTTGTAAGGAACTGGAATCATCCCATGCCTTAAGAACCTGGCAGCTGGCTGATTTGAAAAATAGTGATACTGAAAAAATACAAGATAGATCAGTGTATTGAAAGCTTACCATATTAATGGTAAATTAATGGTAAGTTATAAAGCTGAACTGTCAGGCCATCTTCCAGTGATGAGAGAGAATGGAACTCCTTGCAGGTACATAGGTTATGGCATGAAAATTTTTGGCTGGTTGGGTTAACACATAAAATGTGTTCCATGAATCAACCTTTTGCTAGGACAGTGCTTTTCTTGTTATCACCACGGGAAGACAAGGGATGAAAAAACACCTTAAATAACAAAATCACAATATAATAAATATAACAAAAATAATAAATCGCACGCATTACCAACCCAGGTAAGAGTTCAGACATTGGTTTATTAGGAACGCTTGCAAGAGCACAGCTGTTCTCTATTAGGTGTAGTTGGAACACATAGGTAGCAAAGCTCTGCCTGCAAACAGCAGCTGTGTTCACCCACCTGCTAATTTCAAAGCGAGGGAGGAATGCCTGTTTGAACCGTATGGAATAGTCAATTTCGGAGCTATTTAAGCCCCTTATTTTCTTGAAGCTGCCACAAACGGGCAGCATGCGCTTCCTCCTAGAAGAAAACCTTGTTGCATAAAGCTGAAATCTCACTGAACGAAGTTTAAATTCAGCTTTCTGTACCCGAGGATACGCTGCAACAGCTTCACCCATCACAGCTGCGCCCCCACCCCCCGATGCTCAGGCGATAAATTGCACTTCCAGCTGGTTCGCAGAGCCTGCGTGCCATGCTCGGAGCGTTCGGCGTCACCGCGCTGCCCTCGGAGCGGGCTGTGGCTGCATCTTCACGCTGTTTTGTGTTACCTGGCAAACGTAAACAACCAACAGCAGGTAAAACGCGGTCTTCAATACAAGCGAGTCGCTCCGAGAGCAGGGCACGGGGCGGGGCTGCTCCCGCGCGGTCGTCACGGTTTACAGCGCAACCGTCGCGCTCGCGGTGCTGCGGGGCAACGGCGGCTCCTCAGTGCGGCCGCGTCCCGTCCGAGCGGACATGGGCACCGAGCAGGTACGGCGCTGAGCCGCTGCGGCGCCTGTTTGCCGCCGGGGGCTGGCGGGGGGTGGAGCGGAGCTGCGGTGCAGCGAGCTGCTGAGGGGGTGCTGGTGTGGGGAATGAGGGCTGCAGCTGAGAGCTTTTCAGGCGGTGTTTGTTCGAAGTAACGTAAATCCTTAGAACTGCGCCGCTTTCCTTTGGTTCCTTCCTTTGGTGAATTCGAAGTTCTGCAGTTTGTGTTACGTTGGGTGCGTATCGGAGGGTGCGCATCGGCGCCGTCCGGACCGCGGGGCTCTCTGTGTGGCTGTTGGTGCCGGCAGCGGCTGTGCTGCGAGGCGTTAAGGATGCCGGAATCTCAGGGTTACAGATGGCTGTGTAGAGCGTTTTGGTGTTTTAATAAAAACAAAAACAAAACAACAAAAAAAATCTGCGTAATGTTGCACGCGGTGAAAACTTTTCTACTCCTGTTATTTGTAGGGAAAAAAAAAAACAAGCAACAAACCAACAAAACAAAACCGCTCAGGTTTCTGTTACTCCTAACCAGGAGTTCGACCTGCTGTAGGCACCTGCATTAGCAGGGGATTGGATTGCGCCAGCCGTGTCCGACGCTGCCTGGCAGGCGCTGCCCTGCCCGGCCCCTGCTGCGCACCCAGCGCTCAGCAACGGCGGTGCGCGGGGGGGGGGGGCGCGCGGTGCCGGCTTCGCTTACACCGAGGAGTTGCATGCGTTTAGATTTGCGGCCTGAACACAACCGTGTGAGCGGCAAAAAGCGTGCAGCCCTGCTTTTCGTTCTGATTATACAGTTTTGAGAACGGGTTTCAAGATTGAAAAAAAGTATATATTATTCCACTGCCCCACCACTCTTACTGTAAATCTTCCCTGTCCTGTCACAACAGATCTTGCTAAAGAGTCTGCCCCTTCCTTCCTATAGCCCCTCCCTTTAGATAATGAAAGGCTGCCATCAGGTGTTCCCGGAGCCTTCCCTTTTCTGGGCTGAACAGCCTCTGCTCTCTCAGTCTGCTTTGGTAGGAACGGTGTTCCATTTTTGTAGCCCTTCTCTGGTCACGCTCTAACGTGTCCATGTCTCTGCTGTACTGAGGACTCCACACCTGGACATACCACTCTAGGTAAGGTCTCGCTAGTGCAGAGTAGAGTAGAGGGGCAGGATCACCTCCCTTGACCTGCTGATCATGCTGCTTTTGATGCAGCCCAGGATACAGTTTGCTTTCTGGGCTGCAAATGTTGCTGGCTCATGTTCAGCTTTCTATCCACCATTACCACCAATTTCTTTCTAGAAGGGCTGTGCTCAGTCCTTTGCTCTCCCAGCTTGCATTGATGGTAGGGGTTGCCATGATGCAGGGCAACAATGTTGAACCTCATGAGGTTCACCTGGCCCCGCTGCTGGAGCCTGTCTAGGTTTCTCTGGGTATTACTGTGTCTCTCAGGTGTGTTGACCGCATAGTTTGGTGTAATTAAAAATGCTGAGGGTGCTCCCTATCCCACTGTCAGTGTGTTTGATGAGGATATTAAAGAGCATCAGTGCTAGTGTAGTTCTAAATATCAGTCTTACTATGTAAAGAATAAAGAGCACGTCTATACTCAAGGTTCAGAACCAACTGAAGTGACTCTGGCTCAGGTCCAGCAGTAAAGCTGCTGACAAACCAGGATCCAGTGGGATAGTTAGGAGGCTGGAGCACGGAATGTAGGCAGGAAACTGTTCCATGGAGAACAGAGTCCTAGAATCATTAAGGTTGGATGGAGAAGACATCTAAAATCATCCAGTCCAACCATCCACCCATCTCCACCATGCCCACTGACCATGTTTCTCAGTGCCACATCTTCATCACTCAAATTCCTGAATTTTGATGGAGGTTTTCTTTGGACTTTGGACTTTCTGACTTGCATGTGAATCACTACAGTTCTTGTAATTGTGTGTCTAAAATTTGAGTGTCCTGTAGCACAGCAGCTGCGCTGCAATGTGACTTGTGGAAGAGTGGCTCAGGTGTGCTCGTACAAACTTCTGCAGCTTTTCTCCACTGTACAATCCTTGTGTAAGAAATCAAGTGCAACAAGGACAGCTGTGGCATAGATGTAGTGTTACTTTACTGCAAGTGCAGCTGCATGAAGAGAAGTGGTGTGTGTGATGCTGGGCACTGGTGCCAGGCTGAAGCAGAGGACAAATGGAGGAGCAGCCAAAGGTGCTTATGTTTGCCAGTTTCAAATAATTGTACAGCTAGCCTGTCTTGTTTGCTCACAGTGAGGTGCTGTGCTAAAAACACATTAGTTGGGATCCTGGGCACGGTCAAAGGGACAGCCAGCATTTCTGTCTCATGCTAAGGGGTCAGCCTTATGGAAGAGCAGAGAGTGCTGGGCAGTCTTTAATTGGAAGATTATAGGTTAGGATAAAGGACCAATATGTGCTAACTGATGAACCTGAATGAAAAACTTAACTGTATGTTTACACTATGTCTTGGTATCTTTTAATTCTTTAATGTTTGTGTTGGCAAAAATATACTTCAAATGCTTCCCAGCATAAAATAGATTTCTCCAGGCTGTGATTTGTAAAAGGTATGTGGGAAAGTTAAATTTTACATGGAAGCACACTAGAAATCGTCGGAGAAGTGACATGGTTGTGCTTACAAAAAATATTGAATGAGTGCTGCTCTGAGAGTGATGCCTCTTATTTTATTATGTTGGTCCACGATGTCAGAAGTGAATCTTGGTGGTATGGCTGCAGAGGTTTAACCTTCCCACCAGTATCTGTAACATGTTGTTGCTGCACAGCAGAGGGACAGTCTGACAAAATGGCATCTGACATGGAAGTGCATATGAAGCAAAGGTGGAAGTAAATTCTTCCATGCAGAAGAAGCGGCACCCATTGACATTCATTAATGCTTGCTGAACATATATGGAGACCAAACAGTGTTGGATGGTGTGTGTTTCAGCAGTGGTGACAGTGGGTCACCTCCACGGGTACAGGTTTTTATAACACAGCATGCAGGCTCTTGTTCATTGCTGGTGAAAACGCAGAGCTAATGGTGGTGACTCTGTTGGAAAATATTGTTCTGTAGCTGAGAATTTGTTCTATCAACTAGTGTTACAGTATTCTTTGTGTCTGGTTTAGTTTACGTTGAAATAAGTGGGAGGCATAACTTCCAGAGCAACTATGGATCAGAGATGAAAAGGGATTTATAGCTTCTTTTAAGACGTTTAAGTATGGCTGGAAGTCTAATATTAGTAGTGATTAAAATGTTTGTGATTTTTCCCAAGGCCGCTCCAAGTGTCAAAGGGAAGTTTGCAAAAAGAGCCGCGAGCTTAATACCACAGCTACCTCAGGTAGTTTTGTTGGATTTTTTGTAAGTTTTAGTTGTCAAGTGTGTACATGGCAGAGTTACATAAAGATTTCAGAACATTTTGAAGTGTAATATGTGCATGTTGTCTGCATTGTGTACTTGTATTATTCACATTTAAGTATGTGGAAATATGTTTGAATATTTTCAAAACATTGAAAGTAGAATATTTGAACAAATCTGTTCATGTTTAAAGTATAAAACTAGAGGGAATGCAAATATTTGCGTGTAAGTTTAGTGTGCTTATCTCTGCTGGGCTGGATATTTTAAAGTTGAGGGCAACATGTAGGTAATAGTTTACTGTATCATTTTTATGCTGCCTTGTTCCTACTATATACTAGGTTATGTGTTTATTTATTTATTTGTATTTAAAATATCTTGAAGTGCTACTAGCACCTACAACTAGTGTAAAACTAAAACACAAAATATATCTTCCAGGCAAGCTCTCATCAACCGTGGCAGCAGACTTGTCCTTCATTCCGACTGAGAAAAGACTGGGAAGATGATGAGCCAGATGAGTTTTCTGTAAAAAATGAGTACCCATCTGGTAAGGCTAACAGTAGTTGGTGCTACTGAAGAAAATCTTTCAGAAACATAAGGAAATGCGTCGTGCATTTCGAACTGTTTTTAAAACTTAATTTCAAAATGTTCTTTTGGGAGACCTCATTGCACTTCACAACTTCCTGAAGGGAGGTTGTGGTGCAAAAGGGTCTGGCCTCTTCTCCCAGGCAAATAGTAGGACCCGAGGAAACGGCCAGAAGTTATACCAGAGGAGGTTTAGTTTGGACATTAGGAGAAACTTTTTCTCTCAAGGGGTGGTCAGGCACTGGAATGGCTGCCCAGGGGGGTGGTGGAGTTGCCATCCCTGGTAGTGTTCAAGGGGTGCCTGGATGAGGAGCTACGAGAGATGGTTTAGTAGCTTGTGGCACTGATAGGAATGGGAGGGTGGTTGGACTAGATGATCTTGCAGGTCATTTCCAACTTTGTGATTCTGTGATTCTTTTCTGCAAGGAGAGTATTTGAAGGCAAGATGCAAGAGACTCAAGATAAAAGATTCTAGAGATGAGGAAGCTGAGCCATCCACTTCTAAATTGCAAAGCTGCAGTCATCTGAAAAAAAGCCAGGAACGTTTCAGAAGTGCTCTGGTTAACATTATATTGTGAGTTTAATGATGTTTGAAAAATATACTTTCTCCTGTTGATAGACCAATTTTTTTTTTAAGTCATTTAAAAAATTTGAAGATTACAAATCAAAAAGAAATATGTGTATGACAATGAACTGTATTGCTGACTTTAAAATCTGGACCTTAACAGGTTGTTTACAAACTTGATTACGTGCTTCAGTGTTCTTTTTGAATCATAATGTTTTGCATTTTTTGTAAAGTTTTGCCAGTCACATTTGTTTTGTGCTGCTTATTCATAGCTCGCGTGTTTGATGGCTATATACTGCTTATGACACTGAAATGTATCTGAAGAATGTGATGCACACTTGTTTGTTTGTTTTGTTTTTACGTCAGGCAGGAAGATGTTACTGAAGAAGCCCTTAATGAATCCCAGTCTCCAAGAGCAGATTCCTCTACAGCAATAGAGAAGGATATTGTGGTAGGTAAAGGCTATTTTCAAGACCATTAAATTTAAAGCATTGCTAGTTATTTATTGTAAATATAGACAAGATGATTGATATAATGACAGAATTATGGAAACAAAAAAGCACTTGGCACTAATTACATTTATTTTTACTAAATCAGCCCATGTTTTACTGAAACCTGCACTACTGATTGCTATCTAGTACTGAACTTAACCAGTGCATTCTTCTATCCTGCAGAAATACTACTATTACATTCGCCATGGAATTGATACAGCAAATGTAGCCCCACTGAATGAAGCCTGGTTAGATCACGTTTTAGTTTTAATTCCACAGCATCTGAAATCATTTGATGAAAGCATTCGTTCACTGACTGATGAAATGAAAGAAGACTATTTTCTGAGTGTAAAGAAGGCTATAGGTAGATTTCTAATATTTACTAGTTTTGTTTTTACTAGTTTTTGTTTTATCAACTAAGTTGATAATACTCGAAAGTGTTCGTCATCGAGTGCTGCTCACTTCTGAGAGCTACCAAAAGTGAGAGAGCTACCGTAAAGCACTCTGCTTCATGGTAGAGGAGAACTTTAATGAAAAAAATATATGGTGTTGTTCTTACCCTTCTAATAGTAAAATCTATTATTACTCAGTATTTTTTGTCTTTCAACAATTTAAAAAGATATTTTTTCTAAACCCCAATTTAATTGTATAGCTTTCTACTAAATTTCTTTTCATGTATTTCCACGTAAAACCATTTATGTCAGTGAGTTGTCCATTTGGACATTTTGTTTATCTTTATTTCTTTGGTGAGCTTATTTTTTTATTTTTGTTTTCACTTTTTTCTTTTATTTTGAAACACCTTTCATAGTTGACTTTGTCTTAAGAGACACCAGAGAAAAAGATGAAGACAAGAAGAAAGATAGTGTTTTACCTCATCGTGCAGAGTAAGAAAATATATTTATTCAAATGGACTGACTATAGAGCAGTGAATGTACAGTAACGTGTAATGAATTATCTTAGGTAGTGTTGCTCAGTGTTGGCTTGAGCACTGCACAAAACAGTAAAAGTAAACATATTTTAGTTATTATCTCAGTTAATGCTTATACAACTTCCTTGGAAAAAATGTGTCTACCATGAATAATTGTTGGGAATTAGTTTTGTTTTGCAGTGTTTAACTGGTAAGAAGTTCCTACATTTAATCTCACGGCATTTGAAAATAAGATACGGAAGGGCAAATTCTTGTGTTTTGAGGTATATGCTTGAGATTTTCTGAGGTATATGCTTTCAAATACCAAATGGCAGGCATTAAAGTATGTAGGAGGGTGGCTGTGACAGATATTACTGAGACAATTTTCATATTGAAAAGAGAAATAATGTGTAATGAGAGAGTTATATTATCCCCCAATAAGAGGCCATCCTACAATTTCTAACTGTAGACCTTCCATGCCTACTAGGAACTGTCATTTTGTTGGACATCGCAGTAGTTTTCATATAAGCTTATATCGTATGCTTGCATACTAAACCCAAAGTATAACATTGTCCTACTACAACAGTCATTGGCAAAATGATTTTATTTCATTAACAGCACTTGAAATATGAATTTTTCTTCTAGAGAAATATGTCAGATAGATGTGGAAATTCAGCAAGGCTTTTTAACTTCCTAAAGCCAAATTATTATTATTTTTTAAAAATCTCCTATAGGATACAGATTCACTGAGAGATGGGTAAAAGTTTATATCAGAATTACCAGTTCCTTGTTTGCACAATTTACCTGGTTTCACATGCAGATTTAGGAAAATACTTCTGATCTGAGATTTGTTGTCCAAGCTTGAAGTTCAGTATGGCAAAGCAGTATTTTAGATTCTAATTATGACTTCATTGCTGCCAACCTTTCAGGACATTATCATTTAGAAGGTTATTTCCTAATGTGAATATGCAGAAACCACTTAAAGAGGAAATAAAAGTTGTTCGTGTAGATCCGTAGTTCTCTGAGGTGGAGTCTGTGTACTCACATATCTATGTAAGCTTTTCCTTTGCTTGGAAACTCCTCATCAATCTGAGATTTGATGAAAAGTAGATCTGAAGCAGGTGAAAGTTTTATACTCTGTTTTGTGAGATCACTGTAAGAACGTTCAGAGAGATATGAAACAGTTAGAAGGAATTGAGGACATAAGCTATGTTTTTATCTATGCAAAACTAAATAGTTCTGTGGTTGATTCCTGAATGGGATTGTGCAGTTCATTCTGTAAAAAAACTGTAGTTACAAGTGTATAATTTAATATAAGTTAAAGCAAAGATAGTAAAGGTTGCAATGTCCATTTCTTCAATTGCAATACTCAGTATTTTAATAATAGAATTTAGTTGTCTGCATAAAATGGAAAATGACCCTGTTTAAGTTTTTAAAGAAAAAACCCACCCTATGGATATATTAAAAAACCCCACCAAAGTAGCTTTATGCTCTTAAAAATTTGAAAGCAGACCAAGTGGATTTATAAAAAGGCTCTATACTCATGAATGATGACGAATTGAATATTATGTGTAAACAAAAATATACTACAGAAAATTGTGTATTCATTAGTTGATTATGTATATATGTATGATTTTATTACATTCTTAATATAAGGGACCTATAAATAGGCTACAGATCTCTTAAATGTCCTAAGACCAATATTTCTTTTTTTTTCTATCTCTCTTTTTAATGTATATTGACCAGTATTTGAAGACAGTATTTTTAATACCTGAATAATGAGTAGAAAACCAGATTAACTCCTGAGCTACTTCAGCTATTTATATGAGCTTTTTGGGATGGAAAAGAATTATTTTAATGCAGATATACAAATATTTTGGTTTTTAGAACAGCTGTGTCCATCCTACTGTGTTTCTTGGTCGTTGTTTTTTTCTGTTTTTTTTTTTTTTTTGTTTGTTTGTTTGTTTTTCTGTGTGTTTATGTTTTGTTTTGCTTTTTAGAATAGAAGTTGTCCCAAAACCTTGGAATAAGTCTTTCACGTCAGCATACAGTTATATAAAAGAAAACTTGCATGCAATAAATCCTTCAATGCTAGCTGTTCTGAAGCTATGGGAAACTTCGTTTAAGTAAGTGTTATCAATATCTCTTAGCTTTTCGGATGCTCAGTGATTTCAGAATCTAAGTAAGGAAATAGTAGCTGGTGGTATCTTAAGGTTTCCAGGTTGCCGTCCTGAATGTGGGACAGCTACAGTATCTGCATCTGGAAACAGATTGTGAACATGCTTTGTTCAAACACCATTTTCCCAAATACATTGTTTTTGTGTGCTCTCTGACTTCATGCTTTGAAGAGTTTCTGCCAACTTTTCATGTGTACAGGTCAAGCTTTCTTATCTGTACTTCCCCAGAGATCACAGGGAAAAAAAAAAAAAAAAATCACCTATGCCATCTTATTTCCCCTTGTATCTAGGCATTAATAAGCAAGAAACTGCAAATGGAAGTTAGATTGTTAGTTTTATATTTAGATGAAATACCATCTGGACCTGGTAATTTGTGATTGTCTGTCATTTTGTTTCTATAACTGTTCTACTGAAACTACAATTTATGCCGTCATGTCCATTGTGCAGAGAGGATCCAGAATGGAGCTGTTAGAAATCTTATGTTCTCTTTTTTTTTTTTTTCCCCTGTTTTTGTTTTTTCTTTTTTCCCCTCTTTTTTTCTCTTTGTTATCTTATAGATTGGCAACTTTCCTGCTTCTGACAAGTCTGAAGAAGACTTCCATTTTTGAAATAGTCATTTTAGCTTTTTCTAATTTTGAGGGTTTTTTTGTTCTTTTTTTTTAAGTCAGGAGTATTCAAAACAACCTGTCTTTCCAGAGTAGCTCGAACTGCTTGCTTATTTCTTGACTGGTGATAAAAAGGCAATGAATTGACCTGTTAAGTGCTGTAATGACTTTACAGTGTTGGTTTTTTTTTTTGTTGTTGTTGTTGTTGTATCTGCTAATGAACAGACGATATTAAATTATTTATTTAAGGAATAGGAATACTGAAAATTATTTCCAAGCTTGGTGTAGATAATTATCTTTATTTCTATGTTGTTTCATAATATCTGTAAAAATCCACCAAGTCTTTGGGAAGGTCGCTGTTTAAAACGTTTAGAAGTGTCAATGTTTGATCACATATGCAGTATGGGGTCAAATATATGCGTGGACTCCAATTATGAAAATACCAATTAATATACTCAAATGCAGTAATTATTATCTCCATTTAGATAATGTATACAGAAAGTGCTGAAGTACATACATTTGGTGTTTCTGAAAATAAAATATGAATGTTTAAAATAAATAACATTTGAAATATGAAATAAGGTTTTATGGAAATAAGGAAATAATAAGGTACTGTGAATACACTTCTAAAATATTCATGTTATATTCTGTTTCAGAAACTTACGCCTTCTTGATACAGAGCTATTTCACAATAAACAGGAAGCCAAGGAACTTGCATCTTTCCAGGTTCAAGTCATCCAGGAAATTGGAAAATCCAAAGCTGTTCTATCTAGGAAGTATGATCCAGTGCATCCATGTATTTTAAGTTATATGGAGATCTTTTTCTTTGGGTGTTTTTGAAATTCTGGACTTTTGAGAGACAGAAAGAATGACCAATTTTAGTAATACATATCAAAGAAAGAGATGGAGTGGTTGGAAATGCTTTGAGGCCAGTGAATGAAAATATTTTTCTTGAGCTTACTGTGATTTATGTTGTTTTCTTGTTCCAAATTTCGGTGTGTTGTGTTTTGCTTTTTATCTCCTATAGGGCACAGATTCATTCAGAATTGGATAATCTGTGGGACATGATGAGTATTTTAGTCTATTTTGAGAAAAGCTTTTATTTTGAGGACTCCCTTGTCATCTAATTGCTATTCTTCAAAGAATTCTTGGAGCTATTTCAGATTAGTCTGCTTTTTAAAGTTTCCCTGCCTTGTTTTTCAGGCCATTTAAAACAGCTGTAATACTGAATTCTGAAGAGATACATTGAAAAAGTAGTGTTTCTACTATCAATAATTTATGACATTTAAAAAAGTAAATTATGATGGAATTTTTGTGTAATAAGTCTTGCTCCATCCCTACTTCAAAGACTGAACGTGCCTCCTGGGGATAGGAGTAATTGAGATTATCCTAATGTTAGGTTAATAACGATACCTGTGTAGAACTTTTGTTAATGAGTGTGGTATCTCAGTTTGTATGTTTTCACTTTTTAACCATTTTTTTTTAAACCAGTGTCATCTAAAGAATGTTTTATTAATGACATCCATTGACATTAGAGTATAAAAGAGTTTTTGAAAAACAAA